ACATTTGTGGGCTGAGGACGGATACTAGAGGAAAGACACTTGAGATACAGGATGAAGTTTACTTGTTACATAAGATCAATTTAAAACCGTCAATAAATAACAAAAGAAAAATTGTATTTTCGTTTGAAAAACAAAATTGTTAGTTGACAGAAATCTTTTAATTTTCTTCTCCTATCTCTCTTTCTTATTCTGCTTCTCAAATAAAAAAGTGAAAAGTGGTGTCGGTTTTTTGACTTAACAACTGGGATGTTGTATTTGCAGGAATGCAGATTTTCATCTGTAAATCAATCCAAGATGATTGTATCTAAGAAGTACAAGCATGTGTGTATGTGTGTGTACTCGTATATGTAGAAACGTGCTGCCAGTGCAGATAAAAACAAAAAGCAAAACAATACTATGCGAAATTAAAATAAATAAATAATCAAAGAACCAGAGAGAGCGGACGGAGAGTCTCGCTCTTGGCGCGCGAGAGAGAATAGACGCGCCTTCTGATGGTCAATGTACATTCATATGTATAGTAGGTATGTATGTAGATGCGTGTATGTGTTGAATGTGTGTTTAAGCAATTTTTCAAGGATTGCGTTTACAATAACAAGAGAATCAGATCTGTTGAAAATCGGCACATACTGAAAATAAAAAGTAGAAAGATAAAACTACCTTGGCCCAGTATTGATGCGCATAAACACAACACGCCTATAAAACATGTGTTTTTGCCTATGTGTATGTGTATGTGTATGTGAGCGCGTATTCGCGTGTGTGAGAGAGTCACATGCAGTGTGGGAGATATCGAGCGCATCGGGTGCACTACAAGCAATTACAAGCAACAATAAATGTCACAGTGTGTGGCGGCGTCGCTGCCTGCGTAGCTGCCAGCGTCGCTGTCGATATGTGTGAGGGCGTGCAATGAATAACGCAACGGCAGTTCAAAAAGAACGAGTGAGTAGCCTTCGCCAAACCGCCTCACGCCTCACGCCACACGCCTCAGTACTGTCTCAAAAGCCAGGCAAAGCAAACGTGTCGGACACACATACATGCACACATGCCATACATGTACATGCACAGTCGGCCGGCTGGAGGTCGCCAACTGACACTTGACGCAGACCTAGCTAGCTATCTGTGACAGCATAAAATGTCCAAGACGTGTTCGATGACTCAAAAAATGGCATGTAGCGTAGCACCCGCATCCCGCATTCCGCATCCCGCAACCAACTGAACGCACTCTAGCACAGTGGTTTCAACTACGAAGGATTCCACTAATTTCGTTCATACATTGAACAAAAGTAATGCATAGTGCAAATGAATATATTTACAGAGGAATGTGTTAATTCTTCCTTTTTTTTAAGTATAAACAACGTCATTGGACTGATTACTGATTTAAATATGAATAATAGTCATAACAAAGTGTATCTTTTTTATAATTAAAAAGAAAAATGATCTTTTGGAGGTAATCAAACCCTCTGCAGCACTTATAATTAAATAGCCTCTCATTTCAATTCTCTATGTGTTAATTAAAATCAAAATTTATTTACTAAAATGTACATATGTGAAAATATTGTTGTTTTTTTTTAGTGTAATTTAAATCAAAACCGAACATGATTTGGGTCTTGAAAAAGTATTATTTATAGATTCGAATAAGTTAAAAATTAAATCTTAATAGATTACAACATTTCTACATTTTCAGAAATTCTGGAAGTTGGACCTATAAATATTGAGCTCTGCAAGACAACGTAACTAGATAAACATATTTAAAAAGGATTGAAACTTTTGAATTGAGAAATAGTTCGTTTTTGAACATGATTTGAGTTACTAACCGCATATGTATTCTAGTTTAATTCGATAGATTACAAAAATGTTTTCATTTTGATTAACCAAAGGCATTCTTTAATGCTTACATTTTGATTTCACTTTTTGTGAAACTGAACCCACTGTGCGTTGGGCCTTCAAACCTTCGTTTCGTTTTTGTTTGCCCAAGCCACACAACATAATCGAGTCAAACATATTGTGGGAAGAAGGAACGGATGGCGGTAGGCAGACAGGCGGAAAACTGATAAGCGGCCAAGTCGAAAAAATTGCCAAGACTTCAAACTCACACCCAGCACACAGACCAAGTTCCATATTCCAAGTGCAATTGGCCCCGTGCTTTGTTTTCGTTGTCAACCATGGCTATGTGCTTGCCTGCTTGCCTGCTTGGTCAGGCGGGCAACTCAATTTGTTGTTGATCACGTTTTTCAATAAAAAAAAGTGAAATAAAAACAAAATGTAATAGTGGAAAATTTTGCACTCTGCCTTCTGGTTGGCCACTTGGCTAGGCTACGTGGCTTTGCGCTATAAAAGCTAAACAATGAAATTTGGAATTTTATGGTTCACCGTTTAGCGAACGCACAAGATGGTCCCAATCTGTAATACTTAGTACGAGTGTGTCTGTGTAAATTCTTGGCTTGTTTTCTCATTGCACGCCTTTATGTAATAAAGTGGAACAGGCCTCTGCAAGCGAAAATAAATACAATTTAAATTATTTGTTAGTGACCAACGGCACAGCAGTCTCTGCGACGAAGGCGATGGCACGGCCCACAATCAAGTACAGCAGAGAAATTGGCCTCAACAGTAGCCAATTGCCATGAGCTCGCAGAAGCAGAAACAGAGGCACAGGCAGAAGCAGAGGCAGCAGTCGCCATCACCTTCTCGAGGGCGACCGCAACAGCAACAACAACAAGAAAGAGCTTTAAAATTTTGTTCGGCTATATCGAATTTTTCATGCACCCTTCACCCTTCCCTCTAAAATATAGTATTTCGTTTTTGCTTCACTGTACATGAGTCTTGAATTGTTAATAGGATCCAATAAACAAATGTATTAAAATGTGTTGACGGTTTCGACACGTTACCTGTGTAGGGCAATTGAAGGAGATCGAAAGGCGTTCGTATGTCTATGCTGACATCAAATATATAACAGGGAGGCATGCATCATCATACACATGAGTGTTACAAACTTGGGTTCCAAACAAAATACACCATCTTAGTTAAATTTTAGGGTAAAACAGGCACGACTAGCAGCACATTTGGCCATGTCTCTTGGCCATTTGCCAGCTGCTTTCGGCTGCTTATTTTGCACAACAACGGCCGCCGATTTGGCTTTGGACTAAAGCTTATTTATGTGCGTCGATGTCCCCGCCGCGGCGGTTGAGAAATATGGTAAAGTCTCTAAATATACATATTTTCGGTTATTTACTGCAGGCGGCTAATTAAGCGGGCTGGGCCCAAGAAAAACAAAACTCAAGCAGAATGTAATGGCTGGCTGGCTGGAAAATAAATAGCATTATGCAAATAATTTGAGGAGCACCGCTTATCAGGGTGCAGCAGCTCGACTTTGCCGCACACACACACACACACACACACACACACATGCTCGCATAACACTTATCAACACTGACTGACTGTGCCTAACAATGTTTAGAATGTGTCGTCTGTCCTACGGAAAGTTCATTTGACAATGGCAAAGAAATTTGGACGCTTTGATTATTATTAATGAAGAAAAACGTGGGAGTGTCATGGCGGCAGACTCTGAGAAGCAGGGCCAGCCACCTGGCCGTAGACGTAAACGCGCTGATAAGAGTGCAATACACCCAATCACATACGCTCATTTAATTATAGCTTTATGTAGAGCTAAAGGCTGTGTGGCCGTGTGAATAAACTCATTTGGACAGCGACTTTTGATCGCATCAAGCAACGCACTTCACATAATTTAAACTGATGTATTACCCACCCAGTTTTATAACACCATTCTGCATCGTATCGTTAATTAAAAAATCATAACGAGGAACGCTTCTTATGCCGCGCTCCAAAATTAATTACATTGTCACACCAATCATGAAAATTATTGCTTGCCCACTCGTATTATTTCCTTTAACAATTTTAAATAAACAAATAAAATGCGCGAAATAGATTTATGTGTGCTTCCAGCAAAATTTATTGAGAAGTAAAAATTGTCAGTACGCTTTATGAGTGGGCGTGGGCGCAATGGCAGATGACGTGCTCTCGCTCTCGGAGTGACCAGCTGGCCTCCTCCATAGCCGTGGCTATAGCCATGGCCCTGACTGACAGCCAACCATCCTGGCAATAAGTGTGCAAAGTTTAAAACACTTACCACCGCCTGCCGTTGATATTCGTAATGAGAAAAGTTTCAATGCTCAAGTTATTTGCGATTTTCTTAAATTTTTCATTTTTTCGCCTTGCTGCAGCTATGAAAGAAGACAATAGTCTTTATCCTTGAGCACGTAAGAAGATACGCCACCGCTTTTCTGGCCATGTGCATGTGTGTGTATTTGTATCTCTGTGTTCACATGTTTAATTTATCTGGCGGTTGTGTGGTTTACTTTTGTTGCTGCTCGCTTTACAGATCTCAAGGCAATAGGAGCGTGTGCGAGAGAAGTGCGGTTCTTGTTGTTGTGAGAAATCATAGAGATTGAAGAGAGAAACGGTTTGTTTTTTGTTTATCACAAACAATTTCAAATAACTTATATAATAAGTAATTATAGTAGTGGATTAAGGCCTTTTTTTAATAGTGGTTAGCACCACAAGTTTTTATTGGGTTTTGTATAAATACAGAAAATGACGGGCGATTCTATCCGTTGCTTAGCAGCTATAGTTAATTTGTTTAGATATAATTTGTTGTTAACGGGCTTTTTCATTTTTTTTTCATTTTAGAATCTGTTAGTTTTGTTTTGGAATACAGTTAAAAGCAAGTAGTTTTCATCGCACTCGGATTACATTATACAATACTGTCACTTTTCGCACAAATAAATCCATCAGGTAGTCTGATTTTGAATGAAAATTGTTTACAGATGCTTTCTTTTTAGGATATATACTATAAGCATAATTCGGGGGGTTTTTAATATTCTTACAATAGAAAACCAATAAATGAATAAATAAATAAGATAATTACGTATGGCAGAGAATAGATGATTATTTCTTCACTTTTCAATTACATATTTGTATTTACCCACCTTTCTGATTGATCCCAAGGAGAGCGTTTCGTATCCAAATCGCAAATATTCCAAATGTGACGTAAACAATTTTGCTATATTCAAGGTTACTCTTCGGATGCAGATCGAAATGAAAACTCTTCTTATGTGTTGGTATCCAAGAAAATAATGTACATGGCTTGCAAGTAGAAAAGTGTTGACGAGAAGGCCAAAAAAAAGAGACTCTTCAGAAATATCGTCGACTGCATCAAACACTCATTGTTTGTTTATATTTGAACAATTTCAATGCGCACACACTTGTGTGTGTATTTTCAAAATATATGTGTATGTATATATGTACATCAACAAAAGGAACAAAATTTTGGCATTATTATTTTTTTACTATATTTATTTATTTTCGGGTCATTTGCACTCGAATCACTGCAGCACCGCCGAAACTATTGCACTTTTTGATTTGGAATTTTTGCATATTATTTAAATGTATGCATCCACAGATTACACTTTGTGTTTTATTTAGCGGAAAAGAGAAATGCAGCCGCAACGGCACTTGGAGGTTTATTTTTGGCACATTTTCTTGGTTTCGTCTAAAAAATTTGAACGTGGAAAATGCCACAACACGCACTTTTTTGGTTCGGCTCCCCGAGTCTTACCCTTTGCTTTTGGTATTTTTATAATTTTAACAACGAGAGCTCGTCAATAGTGCTGCGATTCTTTTGTTTCGCGTTTAGTTTTTGGTCTATTTTATTTTTAGATGAATTTTCTTTTAGGGAAAAGCCAAGAGGCAACGGTCAGCACGTTTTAAATACCACGCACAGTCGGGGGGAAATAGCAATTGTTGCAATAGTTGTGGCGCGTTGAAGGAAATGCACTTTATATACTTCATGTGCCTACATACACATACTTATAAATTTGTATGTATTAATGGCTTTATAGGAAATTCTGAATTTTTTTGGCACTTCGTTGCACGAACACGCGCGCCGCCTGCGCTGCTGATAATGCGGAGGAGGCAGAGCTCGAGGAATTTCAAACTGAGCTTGACCATATGCAAAAAATGTACATGTTCGTACTTATATGTGCGTTAATATGATTATGTAGCTTTAATTGTACATATGCGTAGTATGTATGTATTTATTTATATATGAACTGGTATTTGTTTTGCCGATGCAATAAGCTTGCATACGAGTACGTGTAGTTACTATCCGTTCACATGTGTTTTAGTTCCGTTCAGCTTAGCTCGGTTTGTTCAATTGAATGAATGATGTTCACTGCACTGTTTTCATCTGCTTCTTCTGTTTCTTATTCTTCTTCTTGTTGTTATTGTGGGGCTAGCACACAACCACTGCTTGTCCAATTACCCGCTCCGGCGTTCTACTCACTTCGATGAACATCTTGTAACTATTTTCAAAAAGCGCACGAACGCAACTGCAGAGCGCACGAATGGAGCGCGCAAAAATCAAACCAGCCAGACACAAACGAAACAGAAACCGAAACAGAAACAGAAAACAGAGACCACAACGCCAGCGCCAACTCAAGAACAACAGCAACAGTCTGTCGTTCAGCCGGTTAGACGGCAGCGGCGACAGCGGCGACAGCGGTCGCGGCAGCAGCAGTAGCAGAAACACAAAGAAGAGCAGCCAGCCAGCCAGCAGCAGCGACCGACAACAGAGCTGAAGAGCCCCACACGACCGACCACAGCTCCCCACGGTGAGTTGGGCACCGAACTGAGAACGGAAAACCACGAGAGAGTAACGAGATAAAGAGAGCGAGTGCTTGATGTTGATGTCTGCCTCTGCTGTTGCTGCTGTTGAGAGTACAAAACACAATGTAAACGGTACAAGAAGAAACGAAGCGTAAGCATCCATCCGCGCTGTTGTTGTTGTTGGTTACTGAAGAACTGAAGCACTGGCCAGCCAGTCAGTCAGCCTCAGGCAGCCCCCCAACAGCAGCAGCCGAAGCGCAACTGTAATACGATTCGTTAAAATGAGCCGACGAACTCATCGTTCGTTCGTGTACGGGCGAAGAGAGTGGTGACGATTACAAGTACTAGCAAGTGCCTAACTTAACAGTGGGATGCACGAGCCAAGCTAAACAGTGAATCCGAAGCCAAGTCCCAAGCCCCACATTTTTGTAATTCGGCTGCACCATGATTGTTTTTGGGGTCGTAGTGCGCTTGGTATGTTAGCTTACACAACGCTGTTAAATCACTGTTGCTGAAGCTAATTTTGAGTCAAGAATAATTTTGTTTCAATGCCTTTTACATTATAAGTTGCTTTAAGGTGCTTATTTAAAGCTGATATGTGTATGTATTTGTGTTTCAATTGTACACAGTTTTATCTGATAATGCTATGTATATACAAAATTTAATAAAGTACCACAATACAGCGCAGGACAGGAGTAACTTCTTTTTATACGGTACGGATATTCCACTAAACTTGTGCAGGCCACAAAAAGTTTGGAATTTAGACAAAAGCTACGAACCGAGGTCAGCCATTGTTTTCGCATCAACTGGGAAGCGAAAAGAGCCAAGCCAACAAAATGGCCAAAAGCGGATCTACTCATTAAAGTCACAAAACCAAACACTATAACGACGACGATGAAGACGACGAGGACAGCACCAACAGCAGCAACAAGGATTACAGTAACAATGAAAACTTAAGTACAATAAGCGGTTATTAAATGCGTTGAATACGAATAAACTTTTAGCCAAATAGAAAATGACGGCAGCTGGCAGCGGCAACACAAAACTCGTTGATATGGCGGCCACTGCTGGTTGTGATGAAAAACAATGAAAATACCATACCATAACCGGAAACTTACGCAACGAGAGTGGCAGGGGCGTCACTAGCAACAGCTTACTTGTGCAATCTGGACTCGGGCTCACAACCCTTTCTGGCCAAGACATATTTTTGGATTTTCAGCACGCTAAGTTATGCTACGAAATGAGCGCAAAATGCTCAACTGCTTGGGGAGCAGCGGCCTAGCCTGATTGTCCTTGCTCCCTTCCACTCCCTACCGCTTCTCAACACTCCCACCACTTCCTCCGCTCCGTTACGTTCAACACGAAATTCTCGTAGAGTAAACTTGTTGGCCGGCTACTGCATGCAAAAGAAGCCCTCCAGCTGCCGTTGGCGTGTCCTTAGACTTATGAATTGTTCGAGCGCAAAGGGATAAGCTATATTCTGTGTACGAGTACTATGTGCAGATTGTAAAAGACGAAATTAAGTTCTTACTCAGCAGCATTCAAGGCGGGCGCATAAATCAGCAAAATTTAGCTTGTAATAAGCGGCAGTTGGGGTGTGGGTTTTGCTCTCTTGCTCTGGGTCTGGGTCTGCCCTACGAGTAAATGTAAATGTGTTTATATTGATTAATGACTGGCCCTTCCAGTTGGGCGACATGCATACTATACGTATGTATAGAGAACAGCCCAGTTTTGAGCACGTGCTGTTGGCAGGTACAAGGCCACTTGTTCGAATCTCCTTAAAGGAGGCTCGAACACTGTGTGGTCAAACAAATGGTTATTTATGGGCACACGAGCAAATCCGCAGAATGCAATTTGTTGTGGTCAACAAATCGCTACACAATTTTTGACAAAAAACAAAAGCAAAAACAATAAAAATGGCAAAAATCATTAGAGACGACGATGGGGACGCTTATTAGTCACGTTCCAGGAATGCGCCAGGATGCCTTCAGAAAAGGCGTGTGTTTAGAGCAGTCCAAAACCAAATCTGCTAAAAGCCCGAAAATAAGCTTAAACCAAATGGCGTTAATCCATGAATTATTGCCTAAAAGCATGCCAAAGCGCATTAAGCTCTGGACCACAGCAACAACAAAAACAACAACAAGACCTTCAGCGACAGCATCACGATTGCTGACTGCCGGCAGGTAAGCAACAGGATTGAGGGTGAAGTTCAGCCAAAAAAAAAAAAAATACAAACATTAATACCCATAAACGCGCTTTCAAAGTGCCAATGAAACTGCTTGCAAAAAGAAAAAACACGAAATGTACATTTGATGCTCCCAAAAGCGCAAAAAATAAGCCAAGTTTTGACCGCACCCATGGCCGACTGGGCCTTACCAGTCTTGTGTGTGCGTTTGTACGGGTGTGTGGGTTTCGTGTCGCTGCGAATTTTTATGACTATTGACATTATAATCAACGCCGTTTTCAATTTCAGCAAACTCCCAAACTTTACCAAATGCCAACAAACCCAAAAGGGTGCATCATGAGTTCTCCGTTTCGGTTTTGTGTTCGCCTTTACCTTTATCTGTTGATTGTGCTCGTACTCATACGTATAGTATGTTTGTTTATATTTTTTGCCAAGTCGTCAGGCAAAAGTTATGTAAATTATTGCAGAAAAAACTATGCTTGTGCTTGTATGGGTGTGTTCACGTATGTGGATCTAAGTGTGCGTCAGCCTCAAAGCTCCACCTGTGGTATTTCAATTTTTATGGTTTCATTTTTATTGGCTAGCTGCTTTTTGCTTGCGGGTCAGTCGATAGTTGCACTTGAGCTGCAAGCTCAAGGGACTTTGACTTCAATGGGGGTAAGCGAAATCGTTGAACATTGTTAGGGGAATTGATTATTGCTTTCCCTGCCTCGAGAGGGGCTGGCGAGTTGAGTGGAAAAATATGAGAACAATTATGGCTCAATTTGTATAAGTACATAGTGCGTTGTCGCACAGACAGGACTCTTAAGTCTATAAAGCTCTTTAGCATTTGTAAGCCATCTATTTTTAATTCAAGTTTGTGCATGCGTGCTTTTAGTATTCCTTTATGGTTTTTCGAGTTTACTCACAAGAAAGCATCACATGACAAAGGTATATAGGTATAATATACTTGCAGATACTTATCTGATCAAAATGTTTCAATCACTAATCCTTTCACAATTTTAGGATAACTCGAGTGAACAGTAATTAAGAAACTTATATGATTTAAGAGTGGTTTTTGTATCAAAATTACGTTTTCTATAAAAATATTAAAACCAATATGCATATAAGACATGCTTTTGTCTCATCTGATTGTGTTGCTTCACTCGTGAGTCACGAAAACTTACTAAGGAAGAAAGAGGGTATATATGTATATCAGTGAATTCATATTTTTGTTGTTATCCTATTCCGCATATAATTCTTGAAAATTGGACGCGATATTTAATTTATAAGCAGAGTCTTCTAGACCAATTTCCCTTCAAAAGTACATATATTGAAGGTAAAGGTCGTAAAGTCGCTTTAGTTATTTAGCCAAAAATGAAATTTTTGCACACAAACGGAAACATTCGATAAGCTAGGAACAAGGCAATGCAAAACTAAGAATGAGCTTACGAGCTGGAAAATGTAGACTCATTTGGAACACGAAATAGTTTATCAATAATTGGGAAATAAAATATATGTATTTTCAATATCTTGTGACTTCATGTGGGTTTATGGTGCACCCCGGAGTGGTGCAGGCAGCAATTTGTCGACTGCACAACTTATTCGATTTCAATGTGCGAGTCACACACACACACACATATACACAACACACACACACACACAACGACAGTTGACCAATGCAGCAAGTGCAAACAGTTGAATCCGATAGTGCGCTTATAAACGGCAACCATGTGGAAGACAAACCAAATGAATTAAGTTATGGTTATTGACATTTAATGCACACACTGGCTCTGACAGATGAGAGCGGTCACAGTTATGGCAGCCAACGCAAACAAGTCCACCGAGGGTTATCCTATTGCCCGCCCGGGGGATGGGGTTCGGCGACATGCAGACGAACTCAACTAAGCATTAAATATGAGCTTCTCGTAGGTAGCTGGACAATCGCCTCGGCCAGGTACTCAAACATAAACGACACCTTGATTTATCTGCTATTGTGGCTACGATGTGCTTGAAACTCAACACCCCCGCCTTTGGTGGACTATATAGATATGTACATATGTACTCAGAAGTATATAGATGCATGTATGTGTATATACTCTATAAGTTGTGCCCGCAACACATCAGATGCCGCTTGATATTCGAAGCCACTCCACCGGGCGTTGGTGCTGGCGAAAATAGAGCGATGGCCCGAATACGAATCCCTGCTTTAAGGTGATTTCTAAATACTTCATTTTTAATTTTGAAGGTGTCCATTTTCCGCGTGATACCTTCTTTCATTTAAATAGTCCCTGCTCTTTTGATATGGTCTTGACTAAAGCTGGCTCGCAACTGAACTGTGCTCCAACAAACTTTTTTTCTTCCAAAACAAAACATTATTAAATTTTCATAACTTGGTGATGGCGGATGCAAGTCAGCGTGGGAAACCTTGTGCAAGTTTTTCGTACTAGACGTCTAAATTTAATATTGAATGAGCCTTTTACTTCGAGTATGGCTACACATATTTAGTATAAATTGGATGTTTTTCTTGCTGGGTGTGCGTGTGTGGAAAAAGTACAAAATACACTCGTTTTTAAGAAAGGGAAAACCACCCGAAAACC